CTGCCAGGGCCCCTGGGCACCGTGGTCTCCTTCCAGCAGTGGCAGGGTGAGTGGGGCTAGGCTCACCCGCCCACCCCTCTCATCCCTCGGACCGCTAACGGGCCTCCCGTCCTCTCCCTTCCCTCAAGTGGCCGAGCGGGTGCTGCAGCAGGACCACCGGCTACAGGGCTCGGAGCTGAACCTGGTCCCCCACTACGACGTCCTAGAGCCCGAGGAGCTTGCTGCGGACGCCAGTGGAGGGGACCACTCGGCCAAGTTGGGGTCTGGGGCCACTGAGCATGCCTTTCTGGAGGCTGGAGAGCCAGCGAGGGCACTGGAGGGTGTGGGGGCTGTGACCTTGGGCTCTAAGGAGGCACCAGGCCAGTCAGGAGCCCCTTCAAGGACAGAGCCCATCGGGTCTCTGGGGCAGGCCGCACCAGTCAGCTCGGGGCCCGTGGGGTCCTCGGACCAGCGGGGGCTAGAGAGCCTGGGGCTCCCGGGGTCCTCAGGGCAGGCAGAGCCAGTCAGCTCAAGGCCTGCAGAGTCCCCAGGCCCCGTGGGGTCAGTGGAGAATGCCCTGGGGCCTCCAGAGCAGATGGGATCAGGGAGCCTGGAGCCTGGGGCGCCCCCGGAGCAGGAGGGGCTGGTGGAGATGGTGCTGTCGATGGAGCCGGGCACCATGCGCTTCATGCAGCTCTATTATGAGGACCTTCTTGCTGGCCTGGGAGATGTCGCCCTCTTCCCACTTGAGGAATCAGATATGACCGGCTTTCGAGTGAGTGACCTTGGCCGATTCCTCGCCTTTGGCCCCCTCTCCCCCTGCAGCTCTAGGGACCTTTCTGGTGCCCTGAACCTGAGAGCTGCCCCCTCACCCCTCGTGTCCTGCAGCTCTGTGGAGCCCTGGCCCCGTGCCAGGCAGCGGAGGAGTTTCTGCAGAGTCTGCTGGGCAGCATCAGCTACCACGTGCTGAGCCTGAAGCTCCCGGGCAGCGCCAGGTTCCTGCGGGGCCCCGAGGGGCAGCACCTGCTCCGGGAGCTGGAGGCTCAGTTCCAGTGCGTCTTCGGGACGGAGCGCCTGGCCGGGGATGCCCTGGACACAGACCCCGCAGAGGTAGCGTTGGAGCCTGCGCCCGTCCCTCCCCTTCCTCACTCCTCAGCCCGGCGCCGCTTCCACCCCTGCTCAGAGGCCAGGGAGGGGTGAGGGCCCGTGGACTCTAAAGTTCTCTCCTCACAGGTGGACCCCACTGAGGCCCTCCAGGCCCTCCCTGGCCAAGCCCACACTCCGTGGCCCCCGGACAGTACAGGCAGAGACCCGGAGAACCTGAGCCTCGGTAGGGCTCCCTGGGACACCAGCACGTCCTGTGGCCCTTTCTTGACCTCGCCCTCTGCCTTGCTTTGCACGCCCACCTGTCTTGTGACCCCATATCCCCCGAGCCCCTCATTTTCACCTATTCCCCGACGCATCCTACCCTTCAGCCCCACCTTGGCTGGGCTGGACCCCTCACCCAGTGCCTCTCCCTGTCCCCAGAGGAGGTCCGAGAGCTACTGGCCACTCTGGAGGGCCTGGACAGGGAGGACTGGCTGCCCCTGGAGCCTGGGGAGGAGGAACCGGAGGAGCAGCCAGAGGAGGAGCAGCCAGAGGAGGAGCAGCCAGAGGAGGAGCCCGTGGCCCCCAGCACCGGGGGCCCCGAGCACCTGGAGGAGGAGGCGGCGCTGCAGCTGGCTCTCCACCGGTCCCTGGGGCCACAGGGCCAAGAGGCTGAGCAGGAGGAAGCTGCTGCGTTGCAGCGGGCGCTGGCCCTCTCCCTGCTGGAGCCGACCCCCCTGGAGGCCGAGGAGGAGTTCCTGGGTGGGGGGCCTGGTGGCCAAGCCCAGCTGGTGGTGCATGTGGACTTTGAGCAGGACATGGACGAGCTGGACCGGGCACTTCGGGCTGCCCTGGAGGCACACCTCCGGGAGGAGACAGTGGGGCTCCGGGGTCACACGCTGCCCGCAGAGCTGCTGGCCCGCCTGGAGCGGCGCCACGGTGTGAGCGTTGCCCTTCACGATGACCGCGCTGTCCTCCGTGGCTTTGGGGCCCAGCCCACCCGTGCAGCCTGCCACTTAAGGGCACTACTGGCTGGCCCCTGGGGTCAGAGTGTGACCTATCCTTTGGAGGCTTCGAGCCCCACCGGTGAGTCTGCACCTGGGACAGGGGAGGGTGGGGTGGGCTAGCTCTCTGAACCCACCTGTGCCCCGGGCATGGCCCAGACCTTCTTTCTCCCCGTGTGTCAGGGCCACAGCAGAGGCCGAAGGGGCCCTGGGGCAAGCTGGAGTGTCTGGCTGAGGACAGCCCTGAGTTCCAGGAGGTGGTGCAGACCTTCTATGACACCCTGGACTCTGCCCACAGCAGGATCCGCATCGTCCGGGTGAGTCTAGTTCTGGTCTTGTCAGCCCGTGGCCTCCTGGGCTCCTGGCACCGTTTTCACCTTGCAGAGCCTGTGGGCTGTCGTTTTTGCCTGTCAGGGTCAGCTGGCCAGGAGCCCGGTGTGGGGCAGGCTGGGAGCTGTTGGAGGAGGGAAGAGCACCGGCTTCCAGACCATTCCCTGCCCAGAGGCCGTTCACAGAGTCTGGGTTGGGGCAGACAAGGGCGTAGAGGTGGCGGGAGGCCGTGTCCCAGACCTGACAGGCTTGAGCAGGGCCCTGCGTTGCCAGCTACACCAGCGATGCCATCTTGTGGCTCCTGCAAGGATTACTCACTCCACAGAGAGTGCCCGTGCTGTTCCGGGTCTCTTCTGCCTCTCACAGTCGCTCCAGCAAGAAGAGGGCTGGCTGGACTGGCCGGTGTTGCCCAGCGGATAGAGCATCGGCCCGTGGACCAAAGGGTCCCGGGTTTGATTGCGGTCACGGGCACATATCTTTGTTGCAGGCTCCTCCCCGGCCTGGGCCCTGGTCAGGGCTTGTGCAGGAAGCAATCCATCGATGTGTTTCTCTCACATCGATGTTTCTCTCTGTCATTCCCTCTCTCTTCCTCTCTCCCTAACAATCAATGGGAAAATATCCTCGGGTGCGGAGTAACCAAACAAAAAGAAAAGAAGAGGGCTGACTGCAGGGCCGCCGCCTCCTCCTGTCATGTTACTCGCTAACTGAGGCATCTCTGAGCGTGGGTGCGCCTCACAAAAGGCTGGGACCCCCGTGGGAGCCAGAGAGAAACCCCAGGAGCGCAGGGAGAAGAGGCTGAGGAAGGGCTGGGGAGGGGCGGGTGTTGCAGGGTGGCGAGGCCCAGGGCTTCTGCATGGCCAGAAGGAAGGGCAGGAGGAGGCTCTGCCGGGCTGGTCAGCTGGCAGTGAGGGTGAAGGCAGGGCTGGAGCTGAGCTGGGCTGGGGGAGGAGGGTGACTCGGCGGTGAGGACAGGATCCAGTCTGAGAAGGAGCTGGTGATGGGAGGAAGGAGGGGTGGAGTAGCTGGGGCAGAGGGCAGGGCTGAGCGCTCATGGGCAGGCTCACGGAGGGCGAGAAGGGCGAGACAGCGAGAGCTGGGCCCATGCGCCAGTGATGCCAGCCAGGTGCTCTCGACTCTCGATGCACAAAGTGTGGGTGGACCCAACACCTGGGCGACCTGGAGCCGGTCAGAGAGACAGGACCTCTGGGCTTCCCCAGACCCGCCCTGTCAGTCGCCACCACCTGCCACCACTGCTTTCTTGGAGATGACCGCTAACCTTCGGACCAAGTACATTTCCTCCACTTCTGCACCTGGCAGCTGTCCCTTCTGCGCGTGGGGAGGGGAGGGACACACTGCAGCCGCGTCCCTGGCTCCCTGCACGTGTGGTCAGTTACGTGCACGTGCGTCTCCCAGGCACCGCCTGTGTGACTCTGGAGGGTACACCTGAGTCTCTTCCCCCGGCCCCGCTCCCCCACTTCACTTGGGAAACTGTTTCTCGCCCCCCTTCCCGCCCTCACCTCCTCCGTCGTGCACCGCACAGTGTGGTCGGACACATCATCTTTATTCTGTCGTCAAGGTCGACAAATGAGCTTCGTCGTCTATTCTGCAACCATCACAAAGCCCCATCCTTGGGCTGCAGGTTGATGGATACAGAGATAATGGAAAATGTCTTTACCATTGAGCCACAGAGCACTTGGAGAAATGCATCCTAGTGATGAAAACAGGATTGTGTGAGGGAGGATACGCCAGGGTTCGAGGACGGGTGGCTCTTCGCTTTCCTCGCGCTCTCCGTTCTTTTCTGTGCTGTGCTTGGCGCTGGGTCGCTGCTTGTGCTCCTGGCGGCCCTCTTGCACAAATCTTGTTTTCTGTTCAGTAGAAGCACCTCCTTGAGTGGGTACTAACCATCTTTTTTTTTTTAAAATTAATTTTGAGAGAGACAGGAAGAGAGACCTTGGTTTGTTGTTCCACTTGTTCATGCATTTATTGGTTGATTCTTGTATGTGCCCTGATTGGGGTTGGGGGGGATTGAACCCATAACCTTGGTGGATTGGGACGATTCTCTAACCAACTGAGCTACCCAGCCAGGGCCTTTTAGTAACCATCTTGAACTTTTAATAAATTTTGTTTGCTTTTTACGATGAGGGGTAATTTGCAACTATAATTTGATATTGATGCCAAGTATTCTTTTTCAAACAAAAGTTGCATTTGTGGTTTTCTTTAAACATTTCTGTTCACTTAAATGAGCACAGCTGGTTCTTGCCTATGTTAACGTGTCCTGATTTTGTCCTCACCAATAATAGCGTGGCTGCATATAGTGTTCGGGATCAGAATATGTCTTCTTTCCAGGAATCTTAGAAAAACATTACTCTTTTTCTTTGAAAATGTTTGCTCTTGGAAAGTTAAAAAAAAAAATCTCTCTTTGGTTTCTTAGCGCCGGGTATCGGCGGGGAGACGCCCGTGTGAGGATGCGAGACTTTTTCCGTTTGTGCGTTGACGTTGGTGTGTGTGTGTGGGCATGAGTGGTCTTTCGCTTTGAAGGTTGACAGTTTCTGGCAGGGACGTGTCCTTCCCCACTGTCCTGTCGTCTCATGGGTCCCTCCCACCTGGAGACGCCACCTCCAGCTCGGGGACACTGCGTTCGTACCTCCCGTGCTCCTGTCACCTGCTGTCCTCTTCCTGTGCAGATCCCTTCGCACGGGCCTCAGCCTCCTCCCTCAGGGTTCTCTCACAGTTTCCACTCTTTTCTCTAGCTCTGCACTCGGAGTCCCTCCTTAACTCTAGCTCCAGGATCTGATTACTATCAGGCCTCCCCGCTAGATTTCGTTCAGCAATTTCATTCTTTAAAAGAGTTTTTAAAAAATTATTTTTCAGCCCGAGCCGGTTTGGCTGTGTGGATAGAGCATCGGCCTGTGGACCAAAGGGTCCCGGGTTTGATTCTGGTCAAGCCCACATACCTTGGGTTGCAGATCGGGGTGCGTGCAGGAGGCAACCAATCGACGTGTTTCTCTCACATCGATGCTTCTCTCTGTCTTTCCCTCTCTCTTCCACTCTCTCTAAAAAAAAAAGATCAATGGAAAAATATCCTCGGGTGAGGATTAAAAATTTTCTTTTTCAGGTAATAGTTCAATTCCATTCTTAATGTAAGAACTCGCTAATTTTCAGAGTACTTCTTTTCACATTTGCTAGCTTTGTTTTGTGCATATGCTATTCTTTCGCCTCGCCCTGCAGAGACTGTTAGAATTTCCTTATAAACTGTGTGGGTCCCTGCAGCTCATCCATGGCTGGCGGTGTGACTGGTCGCCTGGTCTTCCCAGCACCGCGAGGCCCAGGGGTGTCTCTTGGTGTTGGGGGTGAAGTCCTGGTGCAGGGGAGGTCCCTGGCTCAGCTCCTCTCTGCAGAGGCCTGTCTGTGGTGCCCAGAGCTGGTGAGTGGTAGGGCCTCCTGGAAGGTTGGCCCTGCGGTCTCCCCAGACCCTGACCTCCTCCAACACAGGGCTCATATATATATGTTTTTATTGACTTCAGTGAGGAAAAGAGAGGGAGAGAGACAGAAACATCAATGATGAGAGAGACTCATGGATCCGTTGCCTCCTGCACGCCCCCACACTGGGGATCGAGCCCACAACCCAGGCGTGTGCCCTGAGGGGAATTGAACCGGGACCTCCTGGTTCACAGGTCCACGCTCCTCCACTGAGTCACGCTGGCCTGGCCAACACAGGGCTCCTGGTTTCCCACCCCAGCGCTGTCCCTTTGGCCCAGAGGGTGGGGCGGGTCCCCAACTAACCCTGTGGCCCGCTGGCAGGTGGAGCGCGTGCTGCACCCGCTGCTGCAGCAACAGTACGAGCTGCACCGAGAGCGCCTGGAGCAGCGCTGCGAGCAGCGGCCGGTGGAGCACGTCCTGTACCACGGCACGTCGGTGCCCGCTGTCCCCGAAATCTGTGCCTACGGCTTCAACCGCAGCTTCTGCGGCCGCAATGGTGAGCCGGGGAAGCC